ATGGCACTGGGAATTTTCCTACATTAGATTAACTTACTGAAAATCTGGTTATTTCTTGTGAGAGGCTGATGACCAGCCCTGCAACATGGACATGCAGGGGTTTATTCTGGGCTCGATTTCAGTGTGAATTCCCTCATACAACAAAACCTCATCTCAGCCACCCCTGACACCCAGGCTCCTGCTCCTCTCTGAAGCGAACGTGTGAGTCATGTATTGACTTCCCAGTGACTGTTCTTTGAAGATTTGGTGGCTTTTGTGTCAGCTGTTTGAACAGCTCTCTCTCACTGCTGAGGAGTTTGACGCCAAACAAGCTGCCAGCCCCGGCTGCATTTCAGGAATATAAAATAATCTGTACCCTTCCAGTTCCTTTAGGATGTGATTCTGCTTTATCAGGGAAATATCCTCAGCTGTGGTATTGGAGTTTTCACATGGGGAGAATAGTGACTTCTTTAGCTCAGTCTTCAGTGTTACTGCCATTAGTTTCCCGTCTGCAGAATAGATGAGGTTTACAAGTAAAACTCATTGCAGCTCATAAATTGTATATGCAGGGTACATAAGGATATGCCAGAGCCCAGTAGTGACATAAAAAATGTACACAGAAATGAAAAAACCCTGCCATGTGCCTTTGAGGTTTATTTTGTTTCTTCCCCTGTTAATTCCTCTCCTTTGCCTGCCCCAAGCTCAGGTTAAACTCAGTTTGCCCTTGTGTGGTGGGGGGTCCTGCTTGTTGGATCGTCATGGGACCACATCAGGTCCCTGGCAGGGTCTTTCTGAGGGATCAGAAATCTTCCTCACTTGAAGATTTCTTGTTCTTACTGTTTAGGTTAAAATTCTACTTACCATCTGTACTTACCCTGAACTTTTCCCATCCTTCCCAATAAACCTTGGTTAAAATCCTAATTTTAGGATGTTTTCTGTGCTGATGAGCAGTGAGAAAGGTCCTCAAATCCCTGCCACTGGAGGATGAGCTGTACCAAGCCATGCAATGCCAAAGGCTTTGTCTGTTGTTCCCATAACTTTAATAAACATCCAGGAGGCAGCTCCTGGCAGCTGCTAATTTTAAAGTAACATATTAATCAAATTAATTGAGAGTTCCTTTTAATAATCAGCAGCAACAACATAACTTTGTGATGTTTTCAGTGTTGCTAAAAGTGATTCCCCCTCCCCCAAAAAAGAGAACCTCTGCAGATAAATCAGGTGAAAAAGTGTTAAAATTGTCTCTTTTGCTACCTGATAATCCAATTAAGTGGTGATAAGAAAAATAGCTCCTGGAGAATTTCAGGGAAGCAGAATAATGTACTTAGTGTTGTACCAGAATCCAAATACCACATAATCGTGGGTATCCATGGATACTGAAGCAACACTTTGATTACCAGATACATCCATTACCCTTAAATACCAGCGTTGGGGTTTAATGCCCCGACCAATTTACCGCGTGACTGCTCCAGCCTGCAGAGAACCCTCCTGGGGATCTGCTCTCCCAGCACAGCACAGGAGCTGTCAGTGGGTGAAGGGAAGGCAGCCAGGATATTTTTGAGACTCTCTTCCCGGCTCCTGAGTGCTTTCAGCTGCCACCCAGCTGGCTCCATCCGCCTGCCCTCCAGCTGCCGGGAGCTGGAGCATCCTGGGATGTGGCCTGACCTCTGAGCCGCATCTGGGACTTAGGAGTGGGATTCCCAGGAAGAACCATCATGTGATGATCCTTTAGAGTGCTTGTGCTGTTGGGAGTCACTCCCCAGTGGGGGGATGGACTCGATGACCTTTTATCACGGCAAGATGAGCGTGTTGGTTATTTCACAGCACAGGATCCATCATGAGGCTGAAGACACAAATCCATGGAATCAGAAAATCCTGTAATGGTTTGCTTGGAAGGGGCCTTAAATCTCCTCCAGTGCCACCCCCTGCCATGGGCAGGGACACCTTCCACCAGCCCAGGTTGCTCCAAGCCCTGTCCAACCTGGCCTTGGACACTCCAGAGCTGGGGCAGCCACAGCTTCCCCAGGCGTGTCAGAGCAGCCCCAGTTTGGTCACGGGGTGGCTTTTGGCTCCAGATTCCCCCCCTTTGCCACAGCACTTTGTGCCAGTGAGAGCATTTGTCACATCCCCAGCCCGTCAGGGTAATAGATCACTGCAGGAATTCATGACAAAGTCCTGAATTGGCAACTTTCACGTTGCTACCACTTAATTGCCTCCGAGGGTTTTACCTTGCGAGTGCAGTGCATTAACCTGACAGTTTAAATAACTGTGCACACACTTCCTGCTGGAACAGGAGTGCTGGATGAGAATATGAAAGCTGAACTTATTCTGTCTGTGCCATTTGGACAATCCCCCCCAAATCCTTGGGCACCTCTGCTTGCTGAGAGTGGTAAATGACGAGGACTCTGCCTGCCAGGAGTTCCTCCAGGGGCATCAGAGCACTGTCATCCCAGCTCAGGGCTTGGATGGGAACAGCAGCTGATGGGCTGGTGTAAATGGGTGCTGGGATGGATCACTGCTGCTGTGCTCTGGGGTCAGACCTGCCTGGTGTGGATTTGAGCAAAGCAAACTGGAGAATAGCACGCTGTGACCCCTCTGGGTGGCTCTGGGGCTGCATCTGTTCCTCAGGCCTCTATTTGCTCTTTTGGGCTGCATTCCCAACCCTCTCAGCTTCTCTGACTGAAGGGGATGGGAAGTGATGAAGGGCTGCAAAGGGCCTCCCCAGCAGCTTCAGATGTGTGTAAATAACAGCTCCATCCAGCAGAGAGGAGCCCTTGGGTCCCAGTGCCATAAAACACTCTGCTCCTGCTCTGCTCTGGCCCAGCGGGAGCCTCGCTGAAGGACACTGTGGAGGGAAGGCAGAAATTTCCAGGTGACAAACCCTGGAGCTCTGTAGCACTCTGGGGCTGGGCTTGGTTTTTTCCTTTCTTTTCTCTCAGTGAACTCTCCAAAGTTGCCACGTCCTCGTTTTACAAGAGAGCTGGGAGTCTCTCAGGGGAGGTTTGGAGTCGCTTGGCTTGGAGTGCTGGAGTGCCAGGGAGGGCACAGGGACTTCCCAGGAGCAGATGATAACTTGGAGTTCTCCTTAGGCTTGGTGCCAGGGCAGAGAGATTTTCCCCCAGCAGAGCCACATGGATGGCTTCCCTGACTGCTGTGCCTGGGTGGTGCCCTGGCCCTGCCATGGAGCAGGATGCCCAGAGCCAGGGCTGGCTGGGGGAGCTGTGCTTTTAACCAGCTGCAATCCCTGCCAAGTGGGTCATTTCAGGAAAGCTGGATAGCACTGCTCATGGATTCGAGTTCATTCCGCCTAATTTTGACTGGGGAAAATGAGAGAGCATTTTCAACTCTTTAAATTTTTGAACTCACTAGCAGTGAGGCTTTGTCTCTCCATTTAAAAATGAAGTTTATTTTTAAAAACCTGCATTGTTTTTTTTGGAAAAAAAAACCCACCAAACAAACAACAAAAACACCAGGTTGCAAAAATTTCAGGTTGTCATAATTGGGAAACAAAATGAAAGATTTTGTGTGAGTCAAAGAAAAACTTGGGGGTTATTATTCTCTTTTATTCTTTCCCTGCCTTTCCTTTTCACTTGTTTTATTTCTTCCCACCAAACCAATCCTTCTTCCCCCGGAGCTTTTGGAGCAGCCAGCACCGCAGAGCTGCTTTGCCTTCAGGCAGCCCCTGCATCTCAGGCAAGGGGAAGGAGCCTGACCCGCTCTGGGAGGTGCTCAGGGATGCAGGAGGCAGATTCCACAGTTTTGAAGGCTGAGTTTGGCTTTCAGGGCTGTTGCAGGGGTTTCTGCAGGTGTTGCCATGGCTGCTGTGCCCAGGATGATGCTCCTCTGGCAGATGGTGTGTGCTGGGGGGATGAGCCTCCTCCTGCTGTAGGATCTCTCCATTCCCACACCTTCTCCAGTGCCTCATCTAACGGTCCTTTTAGATCTGCATTTTAAAGCATATCTGTGAATCTCTCCTTTGTCCTGCTGCCTTTTAATTAACTCATCCCCACTGCTGTTTCTTATTAAGCAGCTCTGATATGTTATTAATTAGCACACTATGCAGTAGGGTGGGGAGGTTGGTATCTAAGATGCCATAAAAGATGAAAGTGTTTACCACTGAGAAACAAAATAATTAAGGCAAAAGTTGTGTTTTCATCTGCCAACAACAAGCAGAATATCACTGGAGATGGGATGGTTTTTTCTTTTATTTTTCCTAAAACAAACTAAATAACTGCAATACGGGAATGTGCTGAAATGAGCCTTTCTTTGCCCTGGCTGTGGGTGTCCCTGTTCTGTGCTCACACTTTTTGCCATGTTTCCTGTGTATTTGTGAGAAGTCCCATTCACAGATGGACTTTATCTCGAGGCTTCAGTATTTGGCTCTCTCCAGCCCAGCTGGTGATGGACACTGGAACAAATAAGGATTTTCTTGATCTTTACCCTTGATTTTCAAGCTGTTCCTATTCCAGATAAGTCCCTTCAGTGGAAACATTTTCCCCCAATAGCCTTCAACTTGCAAAATCAAAAAGAATCTCAGCCCTCTGCGGAGATAAAATTTGTCCAATACACCTCCACCATCACTTGCCTTTCAGCCTGTTGGTTTGGGTTTTTTTTTTAATCTGTTTAAGTTTATTCAGGTTGTTGTTAGGATTGGTTTACTTTTTTAATTCCTCTAATTTTAATCCTTCTGCTGGCCATATATTTGCTTATTTTGCTTTTCTGCAGCTTTGGGGTTTCCCATCTGTTTAAACCACAATCCTACCCAGCCATGCAGGCTGTGTATCAGAACTCTCTGTGCAAAAAAAGAATGGTATGAATAATGGTATGACTATGAAATAATGGTCTGACACCCCCAGGCAGTGGCACCTGCGGTGCCCACAAGGGCAGTGACCCCATCAGAGCATTCCTGTTCCCCCCGGGCTCCCCTCCAGCAGGTGCATTTCCCACTGCCCCACCTGTGCTCTGCTCTGATGTGTCCTGTTCCTCCTGTGAAAGTCCTTTTGCTCTTCCCTGTCTCTGCCCAGGTGGGCTCTGCATCGCCCAGTCCCTGAAGATCCCCCAGGACCGCAAGGACAAGACCATCGACTTCGACAAAATCATCAGGCAGCTCCTGGAAACGCCCAACGCCAGGGCCATCGTCATCTTCGCCAACGATGAGGACATCAAGTAAGGGCAGCTGGGGGGATTAATTAACTGGGCTTGACAGCTCTGCAGAGCAGGCAAGGCAAGCAGAACAGGGGTAATGAGCTGGGAGTGTCTGCTGGTGAGAGCGATGGGGGATGTGCAGTTTGGGAGGTGGGGGGAAGCACCAGCCATGAGGCTGCTGCTGTCCTGGCTCATGGAGTGCCCAGACCATGCTGGGGGGACAGGAGGGGTGACCAGAATCTGGGAGCTTTTCCTGGCATAGGGTTGCTCATGCAGTGGATGGCAGAGCTGACCTTACCTCTCAAAGAGGCATTAAGAGCACGCCCCTCTCTCCAAGCTCATTCTGTCATGTATAATTAATTATTTCAGACTCTATCTTATGGCAAATGAAGGTTAATAGTGATAAAATGACTTGGATGCTCAAGGTTAAACCACGTAGAAGTGGCTCATAAAATAATACAAAGAATATTTTATATTGCTTTTCTCACTTGCCCATGTTCCATATTCTCACTCCAGAATTTTTAATCAGCTTAAAATTGGGGTGGAATCATCAGTTGCTGAGAGGCTCAGTCCTATAGTGAGACAAAAGGAATTCAGGGTGAAGTTTCAATAAAGTCAGTGGCAGAACTCCAAGTTTTGGTGGGATCAAGATGCCAGTCATGGGATATAGGGGGAATTTAAACAGAAGTCCTCTTGGTGCTGCAAAGAATGGGTTGGGTTGGGAGGGACCTTTAATGGTCATCTTGTTCCAACCCCCTGCCATGGGCACCACCACCTTGCACCAGCCCAGGCTGCTCAGAGCCCAGTGATGTGGGGCATCCCAAACACACAGCCCTGGGCACAGGAACGGGCTGTTCCTGTCCATGGCAGGATCAATTGGGTTGGGAAGGATCTGAGGTCAGTGGGTGCCCCATGCTGCCACTGCCACAGGCCATCTGCTGAAGCAGCCCCGTGTTTGGGTAAGGTGCTGTGTGACCAAGCCCTTCTTTCCCACAGGCAGATCCTGGCGGCCGCCAAGAGGGCGGATCAAGTGGGGCATTTCCTGTGGGTGGGCTCGGACACGTGGGGCTCCAAGGTGAGCCCGCTGCTGCAGCAGGAGGACGTCGCCGAGGGGGCCATCACCATCCTGCCCAAGAGAGCCACCATCGAGGGTAAGAGCTCCCTGCCCTTCCCCTCCTGCCTCCCTGGAGCTGGCAGAGCGGCCACCTCTGTGTTCCCAGAGTGTTGTGGGATAAAGGTGCCCAGTCAGGGGTGATCCAGGCTGGAAAGCACGTGGAGAGTCAGTGCTGAATGCTCCTCACACATAGGGACATGTATGTAAAACTTATGGGAAGCTTTGACAGAATCCCTTTGTTTCTCACCATTCCTTTGTGTCCTGAAGAGTTTGTTGTCTGCCTTCTCCTCACTTTGTTGGTCCTTTTGTGTGCAGGGATGCTTAACTGTCCTTCTCTGGGCACCAAACTGGTTGATTGGAGTCTGTGTTCCCTATAATGCAGAAAGAAAAGTTGTTTACCAGGTTTAGAAGGTAAAGAACTCTCCTTTGAGTGAAGAAAACAAACTCCTGAGCTGGCACAAGGTGTTGTGTGGGGCAGGGTCTCCGAAGAGTCCTTGAGCACACTGCCTACATTACAATGGGTTCTGGTGTCTTCACTCCCTGGAAAATCAAATATTTGCATTTTCCTGTGCCTGCACTCCCTCCTCATCAGTTATTCTTCTCAGGTGTATCATGTGCTTATTTCTTTTACATTTTTCAGCCCCTGAGGTGTTCTTGAATGTTGTTTCTCCGTAAATACCTAAAGTTGATAGGCAATGAAGTGGTTTGTTTCTGAAAACCAGGGTATTTTAATAAGCTTTTCATACTGTCTGCATTCATCCCTGTGGGTTCCTGACACAGAAAAGAGAATTCTGCCAACAGTAAACAGAAACTTTCCAGGTTTGTTTGTTTTAAAATATTTTCCTTCTCTATTGCACATTGAACCCATAAGGGGAAGCATGAGAGCGTTTTTTGGACACAGTAAGTGAGGAGAGCAGAGTGGAAGGGTCCAGGTATAGAAAGTCAGTTAAATAACAGTTATAAATATCAGTGTATTTGGTATATCTGCAAAAAAAATGTGTTTATTGAGCCCCCAAATATCTTCTTATTCAGTGCCTGTGTTGCAGAATGGCTCAAGGTTGGCTGGTTGTGTCCTGCACTCGTAGGTCGGATGATCAACAGTGAGGCTTAAATCACATTTTGCCTATCAGTGTATCTAACCTGTTCATCCTTTAGGAGCAGATTTATTTCGAGGTCCATGTGTTGCAGGTGACCTCCTGGGCAGGGCAGAGCATTTGGGCAGCAGTAGGGGCTGTCCCAGCAGGCGTCCCACGTGTCCCTGTCCGGAGCAGAGGCTCCCTGGCTGCTCTGAGAGGTTCAGGCTGGTTCTCACCTTCCTCAGCCCTGTTCATCCACCCCCAAATGCCACCTGGATCTGCCTCCTGCTCCTGCTGTTACAGGGAGGGTGAGGGGATGCCCATTCCCATTCTCCTGAAGCAGTTTTCCAGGACTCCACATTCCCCCCTCTCAGCCCAATTCCGTTTTGGTTTCATCCACCAAGATCCATCTGCAGCTCTGTTACTTACAGCAATCAGTAATCCTTGGGCATTAGTGTTCCCATGCTCAGGGAGGCTCTTATCCCTCTGGATTGCTGCCTGCCTTGAATTTAGGCTGCTGGATGTTGTTTTGTTTTCCTTTCTGTTGTTTTAATTTCATTTGGCCGAGAGTCCAGGAGAAGGGAATTAGACATTTTTATGTTATTCTTTTATCATCCAGCAATGAACATCTGCTTCCCAAAATTCAGTAATGCATTTCTTCTGGTGAAGGCATAAAATCAGAGAAATGAGCTGCCTTGGTTTTGCCTATAAATTGATGGAAACAAAGTAAATGAGCAGAATGGAACCCAGTGCCTGGAGCAGCTCCCAGCCCAGCAGGCTCCATCTGAGCAGCAGCCCTGGGGCTCACAGGCTCCAGGTCAAGGCAACTGTTAAGCACCAGCCTAATTCCCATTGGATTTGGTGAGAATTCTGTGTTAGTCATGAATGAGGGGGTTGCCCTTATTTTACTCCTCAAGAGCATGTTTTCTTTTTTTTTTTCCCTTCCTTTTGTCACTGTCTCAGGTAGGATTTGAAACATGTGGGAAAAAGGTTCCTGGGAAGCCTCACTGGAAGCAGAGAGCGCTGCAGCTCCTGTGCCTCCACCTGAATGTGTGACTCTGCTCACAGCTGGGGGAAACTAGCCAGGAAATGCCAGAGTAGCTGGTGTTGGAAGTGACCTGAGGAGCCCATCCAGCCCAACCCCCCTCCCAAGGCAGGGTCACCTGGAGCAGGTGACACAGGAACGTGTCCAGGTGGGTTTGGGACGTCTCCAGAGCAGGAGGTTCCACGCCCTCTCTGGGCAGCTGTTCCAGGCTCTGCCACCCTCAGTGTAAAGAAGTTGCTCCTCATGTTGAGGTGGAACTTTCTGTATTATATTTTATGGCCATTGCTCCTCATGGTGTCACTGGGCACCACCGAACAGGGGGTGGGACCATCCTGACACCCCTTGGAGATATTTGTGTGGATGGATGGGATTCCCTCTCACCCTTCTCTTCTCCAGACCAACCAGGCCCAGCTCTTGCAGTCTCTGCTCATCACAGAGATGCTCCAGACCCCAAATCATCTTTGTGGCCTCCACTGGACCCTCTCCAGTAGCTCCTTGTCTTTCTTGAACTGTGGAGACCGTAGTGTTCCACCCATCTGCACACATCCCAGCTGGCATTCCTATTTTCCTGACAGTGGGAACATCCCAGCAGCCTCTGGCTCCAGAGGGAGCCCAAAGCCCTTGGTTTCTTGTAGGATCAGGCCCCAGATCCACAGTTATTTGTCTTGATACTTGATGTCACTCTTGGGACAGAATTTTCTTTGCCATGATCCCACGGGGGGGATTTAGGAAATCATTACATGAACTGAATTCATTCATCTTAAGTCAGTCTTAATATAGCCTGATTGTGTGTGATGTAATTATGCTGGAAGGATAAAGTTGCATTTTATTTGCATAATTGCAGTAGACAGGGAGCCAGAGGAGCTGCACATTAAAGAGCTGGAAAGTTGGGAACATGCTCCATAGCCAGTTTAACCAGGTACCAGGGAAGCTGAAAGGCTTGAGATGTTTTCAGGGGGAAAAAAAAGCAGATTATATTTATTTTTAGAACAATTATGGCAGCAGGACATTGCATTCTGGTTCTTGTTGTTTTGAACTCTTCCCAAAGAGGGTTGTGATGGTGTGTCCTCACGTGGAGAGGAGAGCACTGAGACATCAGCCCCGTCCTGAGTCTTAGAAATCATTTTCCTCTTAAACTCAGCTGTGAGGAAATCAGCAGCTATCTACTCACTTCTTCCTTTCTGTTGTTCCTACACCTCTTTTCTGTGCAAAACTTATCAAATTGGGCTGTTACCCTGTGGTTACTGTGGTTACCCTGTGTTATCCTGTTGTTACTGAACACTTCCAGAAATCTGGGGTTTTTTTCCCCAACCATTTTTTCTTTTGAAATAGTCTTGCATATCTTTCTTACGTGTCTGTGACCTGTCCTGATGGACACACCAGGGAAATGAAACCAAGGAGAGGAGCAGCTGCAGGAAAAATACAGAGGCTCATGTACATATGTGTGTGTGTGTGTGTTAATTATTCAGAAAGGTGGAAAATTGTTTTGCTGACATAGAAAAAGATATTATTTACAGGCTGAGCTCGGAACTGATGCAACCAAACAGAGAGATTCAGGTAGATTTAAGATGAATGACCCCAGTCCAACAGGCTGGGGATGTGGCCCAGGCTGCAGTTTGTGGAGCTCTGGGCTTGGAGGTTAAGGGATAGCTCCAATCCAGCCCAGGGACATGCCCAGCTATTCAAAAAAAGAGGAAAGCTGCAAACCAACATAACTGTCCTTGAATTTTTCAGTTGTTTTTTCATCCAAAAGGGATGGCGAATCCTGGTTTTATGTTTTGGTTTTATTTCCAACGAGAACCAATTTGCTTCTGGTTTTTTTGGGGTGGGATGAACTGGGGAAAAAAACAGTGGAAGGGTAGTGATTTAAGGAAAAATTAGTGTGAATGGTATCTCGCTGTTCAGTGGCTCTGAAATGTTTTCCCTTCACATCCCCAGCGCAGGAGCTCGGGGCTCATCGTGCTCTGAGTTAGGGACAGTTTGGCTTTAATCCAGAGTTAATAACCATGGGCACACTGCTCTGCATCTCAGCAGGCCTGCCTTCACCCGGGATGCTCCTCTGGGAATGATGTGCTTCCTGCAGCACCTCCCACCCCCTCCCTCAGGAGCACCAGGCTGGCTCAGATCGCAGAGGAACATTGGGGAAATAGCCCACTTTGGATTTCTTTGGTTTGTTTACAGCCTGGTTCGGCATCTATTCCAGTCCTCTGTTGTTCTCCAGCTTTTCCTGTGTCCCTGGGGCACGAGCATGTGCTTTTGAGAGAGTCAGTGGGCTGGAAAGATGTGGCTCCAGGGGTCTGGTTCATCCCGGGCTGTGGGGCTGCAGTGGAGCCCAGGAGCACCAGGAGCCAGGGGGGACACCAGTCCTAAGGGACAGGACCTGGACCAGCACTGCCAAATTTACCCATTGCTCCCATGAACTGCCCTGAATTTTCCTCTCATCTCCTCACCCCCACACACCTTTCCCATTTTCCTTCCTGCCCTGCTGAGGGGCTCCAGCACTGGTGGATCTGTCCCCCCTCATCCCCCAGGCTGGTTGGGAGCAGTGGGAGCAGCTCAGGGATCTCCCCTGCCCCAGAGCCAGGCTCCAGCACTTCCCATTCCTCCCAGGGACCTGTTTGCTGGTGAAGGAAGGATGCACCTCTCTGCTCTCTCCATCAATCACTGTGTTTAAAGCCATTCTACCTACAAACTTGTTGGGTTTGTATCTTCCCCAGTGCTGATGAAGCCCTTAATTGAATTTAAATTAATCCTGCAGTTACCTGGGAGCCCAAGGCACACTCACAGCCCTCCAAAGTTTATTGTGTATCGATTCCAGCCTGCTGAAGAGTCACCCTGGGAGTTCAGATTAGCTTTGATTGCTCCTGGCTTCGTGCTGGATCTCGCTGTCCCCTACCTGTGCGTGGACAGACCTGT